AAGAAATGAAGGTTGTAGTTGATACAGAAAAGAAAACATCAGAAGGTGATTAGGAAAAGAAATGGAAAACTAGTTTAGACAAAATAAATCAGAATTTTTACAGAGTTAAAATAAAATATGTACATATTTATAAATTAATTTTAATTATTACCAAAAGTTATGATCAGGTTTTTTGAAACTAAATTTGGTTTTTCAGTCTTCTGAGAAAATATATCTAATATAAAAGAAGTGCATATAACTCTGTGTACAGTAATTTCTGATTACCAAATTACAGTGTAGATATATCCCTTTTAAAAAGTTTGAAAATCAAATGTTTAAACTATCTTGATTATTATGAGCTTTTGTTAAATATTATTTCAGTTGCTAGGTCTGTGGTCAGTAAATTATAACTTTTCAACAAGCAATATTTATGTTAGGTATAAACGTAGCATATTATTTTCATTATACTTGAAGATATGTTTTTCAGCATGGCATGCTGACAGAGCAATTTTGCAGGGGCTCGAGAAGACTTGAAGGGATTTTTCTTACAAGAGTTACATTAAAATCTTGCTCAAACCTATAATCTTTTCATGTTTTATATCAGTGTTTCTCAACCTTGGTCACCTGAAGATGGGTAGACTTCAAGTCCCAGAATCCTGGGAGTTGAAGTCCACGCATCTTCAGGTGACCAAGGTTGAGAAACACTGTTTTATATGAATTCCATCTGTTGGTTGACTCTTGTAGTACAAGTAAATCTTAATTGTTCCCCTTCAAACACTAAAAGTGAAATATTAATAAAAGTTAGCATTTATGTTTTATAGTAATTGCATATTAGTGTGCCGATAAATGGCTTCCCAATGTTTTGATTACAGCTAGAGACATTAAAAAATCATCTGACCAAAGGAAGCGAAAATGAGCCCATTATCAACAACACACATAACCCTGAGGAAAAAAGTCCACAGATCCCAAAACGTACGTTGAGAGATAAAGCATCAATTGAAGAAAAAACAAATGATGTTAGCGGAGAGGAAAGCAAGCAAGTTGGGCTTAAGAAGAAGAAAAAGGCAGCCCTACAGAAACAACTTAATGAGGAAGAAAAGGTATCTGAAATGAAGTTACACTCTTCTGAAAAAGAGATTCAAGTTTTTACAAAGAAAAAAACAGACCGTGTGTTGCAGGCAGATGCAGTTCATTGGAAAGGTGACAGCAACATGAAAGTTGCCTTGAGTGGACTACGAGACAGATCTGAATTAGATGAGGAAGAAGAACAGCTAATTCAAGCCTATGAACAGCAAGTGGCTGAGGAAGAAGCAAGTGCAATTAAGAAAAAAATAAAAAAGAAACTTAAAGAACAGATGTCTGAATTCATTCCCAGTGCTCAAAGTCCTGAAACAGTATTGAACAATGAAGTGAGAAAAAAGAAGAAAAAGAAAAAAGAAGTACCGGTTTCCTCTGAATCTCAAACAAGGTATAATAGTAAGTGATACGTTTGTATGGATGTAAGATTTGTGACAGCTGTTTGGGTTGCATTGTTGTTGACATCAGAAATAATTCCATATGGCTTTGTGAAGAAAATATAATGGCTCTGTCATATTGGGGGAGGAAAAAAAAACATTCAGTGAAACAGTTTTGTCTCCTTGCAAAACTATACTGTGGTTTGTGAAGAGGAAATGACAGAATAAGTGCTGTATTTTTCGGACTATGAGACGCACCAAGATTTTGAAGAGGTAATTTTTTTTTAAAAAGTTTTTGCCCTCCTCGTCCCCCCAGGAGCACTCTGCAGGCCTCCCAAACCTCTGCACGCCTCATTTTTTGCTAAAAACGGCCTTGTTTTTTTGCTGTTTGCCCTCCCCAGCCCCCAGGAGCACTTTGCAGGCCTCCCAAACCCTCTCCATGTCCATTTTTGTGAAAAACGGGATGCACAGGGTTTTGGGAGGCCAAAAATACTGTATTCAGTTTATAAAATGCACCCAGATTTGCATCTTCTTTTTGGGTGGAAAAAGGTGCATCTTATACTCCAAAAAATATGGTAGTTGGAATCGGATTTGATAAGAGATATATAAACTTGCCCATTTGCTTTTTCAACATTTCTTGTAATGATCATTAAGCAAATGCGGCAGTCGTTGTGATGTTGTGTTTTTGCTGAAAACTGAATTAATTTTCAGCAAAAACATAAATTGTAGTCACATAGCCATGTGACACTGCAAACTGCCATAAATGTGGGCCAGTTGCCAAGTACCTTAAATGCAGTCATGCGAATTTATGGAGAGGCTGTCATTGGAACTTTAGGGTTTTAGGTCCCTTTTGGGAAGTCAGTTGTAATTTTGATCGATTGCTAAGCAACTGATCGATCACAAGTTGAGGGCTACCGGTAGGAATGAAGATTGAAACCATACCTTCCTTGTCATGTTGCCTAGATTCTTAGCCATGCCATCCCTCAGCTTGTATTTCACCATGATTCTGAGCTTATTCTACCACAGATCCAGCTTGATAGGATGAGATTTTTAATAAACTTTTCCTGAACAAACTCTATGTGGGCAAGGTATCTCAGTTAAATCCATTCAAGCCACTTCGAATGTGTGTGTTGTTTGCCTGCATTACAGAATGTAATTATTAAACCATTAAATCTGGGAGAATATTTCAAATCCTTGTTAACCCCATGACTTCTTTCATTCAGTGCAATGTTCCTGTCTGAATTACAACATGAGCCAGAGGAAGAAAATACCAGGAAAAAAAGATCTTTGGAAAGACCATTTGTATCCAAATCTAAAGAAGGTGATCTGTTAATAGAGCAGGAAACAAAAGGCAAAAAAGCAAAAAGAAAATCCCCCAAAGGTTTGTGTGATTAGAGTGTTTTAAATGTTTTCTAATGGAAGTAATTCTCAATTAAGAGGCCTGTAGTGTGTATATGTTGCCCAAATTTCCCCATCTTTGTGGCATAAAGAGCAGAACAGTAATCCACTAATTTTGTATTACGATGATTGAGATGAGGGATCCTGCTTGCATTTAAGAAGATCTGACTATTTTTACAGTCATTGGGCCAGGATGTTATGTATGCACATTGTTGAGTTTAAGTTGCATTTGTAAATAATGGTGCTGGTAAGGCTGTTTTAATAATTTCAGACATAATAAAGAAAGCCAGTTTGGTCTACTGGTGCAGGCACCAAGCTAGAAAATGAAAACCCTGAATTCAAGTCCTGCCTTAATCATGAAAGTCAGCTAGATGTCCTTGGGCCAATGACTCACACTCAGCCCTACTCACCTCACAAGGTTGTTGTGAGGAAAAGAGTAGGGGAAAAATATGTTGGATATGTTCACCATCTTGAGTTATTTGCAAAAATAATAAAAGTGGAAATTAAATTAAATTAAATTCTGGCCAGAGTTGCGTCATATTGTGAGATAGGTTGCAAAGAACTTTACTTAACTCCTTATTGTAGGTTTTAAGGGGTGAAATGTATGTTTTAAGCCTTGAAAGCCTTAAGGCATCCACTTTACAATTTAAAATCTAAAAGCACCTAGCCATCTCTAGTCGGGGCTGCCAGTTTTACTCCTGCCTCTCCTGGCATCTTCATGAAGTCACTAAAATTTCTGACAGCTCCCAGACAGAAGTACTTTCCATATCAAAGTGTTTATACTGTTGAATCATTCAAGACAGCTGTTATACATGGAAGTCATGATCTGACTCATAATAAATGAGTTGACTGAAAATTCATTTAAGACAAATTTTTAAATTGTAGGTTTACTGGTAATTGCAGCAATAAACTTAACAGTAGTTCCCAATTTTTACTAAAGCCTATTTTTTCTTTCTCCTAGCTCTAGAAGAAGATACTGAAAACATGACAGAAAATACTTTACACATGACTTCTGGGAATCTTTCACCAGAATCTAAACCTGGGTTTGATGATAACCTTGTTTTAGGGGTTTACATTCATCGAACTGATCGTCTTAAAACTGATTTCATGGTATCCCATCCAATGGTTAAGGTTCATGTGATTGATGAGAAAACTGGTTTATATGTGAAGAAAGAGAATAGGTGATTTTACTGACTTACTGTAGATTTTTTAAAATTGTTGATGTTAATTAATTTGTCCGTGAAAAGCTCAGATAAATTTTGGTTTTTCTAGATCCACATAGATGTATATAACCCATTAAATGAGGGTCATTCAATGTGTTTAAACAAAAATGTGTCAAATAAAAATGTAGTTTAATTAATATTCCTTATTTCTGCTCCACAATAATTCTCATTTACTGAACAGAGTTGAGGTTCCTATGTTTAAGCAGTTTTAGATGGAGTTAGTATTTGGATTTTGGATTGTAAATTTAGACATTTAAGAATTTATCATTCTTTTGTAATTTCAAATAACAATTCTCATTGCCATTTGAATGTAATGCAAATACTGTTTGTAAGTTTGTTGGGTGGTCAGATAACCATAGATGTAATAAACATTCATTTCAAAAAGGACAGCCTATAAAATATGCACAGATTCTCTCCAGGATAATACTCTTGGGATTTTCCAGAAATATCATATTAAGAGTTTTGATGATATAGTCAAGAATGTATCATGGCTGGAGTCAATATTATATCTAATCTGCAGTATTTAGAAAGGAAAATGAAGAAATTACTTATTCCCTAACCTCTAATATTTGCTACTACCTTATGCATACTCCACAGTAGGGGTGTCAAACTGGCGCGGATGTGTCACGCGCAGTCGACACTCACTCCAGATCTGTGAAGGGGGAAAATGTCACGATACGTCATGTGATGGCAACGTGACGCAACATGTTTGACATCCGTGCTCTCTGGGGAACAGAGTCCATTGAACCTTTGACAATTTTAGTCTGCAAATAAAACCTGTGACAGATATCATATGAATCACTTTCCATTGCAGTATGTCTACAATATTTTAACCATTTGTAAGAATTGGTTTTAAGTGATAACAAATGAAGATAATTCAAGCTTCTAATTTTTTTGCTCTTAAGGTTATCCGTCTGTAACCTTTCACCTGCACCAAACTCAAATTAATTCACTTTTCTGTATTTCATTGTGTTTGGACTTTGCTTTGAATAATCTGAATAAGTTCACTATATTCTGATTTGCTCATAAGGCTAACCTTCAATGTTGTTTGTTTGTTTTTGGTTTAGCCCAGTATTTGAACCAATGCAAAGGAGGAATCCAAGTACAATCCAAAGACAAACAAATCTCATTATTCCTTGAAGTGGGCCATTTAAGCCAGTTGATAGTTGGATATTGAACGCTTTTTCTATTAAATTAAAGCTACTTACTCTGGAGACAGTTATAATAGAAACGACATAACTCAGTGACATGTATTGTTTTTATATAGCAGTCGACGAGTTTCATCCTTCTATGAACAAGAGAAAGTGGGACATATTCTTCCTATTATGACCCAGCCTTACGATTTCAGACAGTTTAAATCAACACTACCACAATGGGAGGAGCAAATACTATTCAATGAACGTTTCAACTATTTTCTCCAAGATGCTGAAGGGACCCCCAAAGTAATTCTGTTTTTTGAGGTAAGAAATGACTCATTAATCATTTTATCTTTAGTTCCTTCTGGCAAATACTTTCCGTATCTTTCCTCTTATGGATAAAATGCACAATTTCAAAACTGGATTGTTTAGGAACAATGCACATTTTGGTGGTGGAAGCAGACCAGATAGTCTAATTGCATAAAAATATTTTCATTAAAAAAAATTCTGACAGTTTGGTGAAATTTAAAGATGCACATAGGCCATTTTTTGTTTTTGCAACATCAGAGGATACAATATTTTATTTTCAGGTCTCTTAAGAATCCAGTCATCTATTTTACTGCTTAACTGAATACTTGGTTGCTAGGGGAAAAGACAAATTTAGAATCAAAGCAAAAGTAAAGGAGTGTCATCTGGGAAGTTTCTTCAATCCATAACATCTAGTTTGTATATACGCTTTTGAAAACATTTTCTTGTGGTGAAGCTCACATCCACTGTTTTTATGACATCCTGAGTGAGATCTGAAATTCAAAAAATACAGCAAGGCTTTAGATTGCGGTTCTGAATAAATCTCAGTTGCTTACTCTATTTGCCACAAGAGGTCTTTATCATAGGAAACTAATATGTACAAACGATTTAAGAAAAACCCAGGAAAATTAACTGATATTTTCTATGACTGAAATTACAGAAATGTAAACTGAATAAAATGTGTTTTCTACTTCCAGATCCTTGATTTTTTGAGCATGAATGATGCAAAGGCCAACTTTGATATTCAAGCCCAGGAAAGCGGCTTTCGGAAAATCTGTTGGGCATTTCTAAAGGTTTTTATTTTTTGCTTTAATGGAAACATTGTACTGAAGCATTAAACAAATCTGAACAAAGATAAACACAAAAATTGGTTTGCATATAGTCAAAGAATAGACTTTGTATATAGGCAGAAAATTAGTCAAGGTATATTTCAACTAGTTTATGTTTTAAAAAATTCAATTTGCAAAATATAGCAGATCATATATCTATCCACCCCCATTATTGAAAAGTTGGATGGAGGGTCTTCACAATTATTTCTGTTTGGATTTCTGATGAAATATGTGATGGCTATTTATGCTTGCTTTCCTGAATTTATTTTGGTACCATTTAATGAAACCCAAAACCAGCTTGTTTCTGAGTCAGTAATGAAGACAGCAATACAAATGACAAAATCACCAGACTAATCAAAAAGCATTGTCAACTATCTCTTGGCCATGTGATGTCATTGTGAGCCCCAATTAATGTGATAGCAATATTTTTGCACTCATCATTTTATCTGTATGTGTGTTATATAATACATTTTGAACTGTGTGTGGAGTTGTGCATGTAGCACTTCTCTTCCGTTCGTTAAACCAAACAAGTCTTTCCTGGGATCATACTGCAGTTGTGGAGGGCAACTGTGCCCCAGTGGTGAAATTCAATTTTTTTTACTCTGTGGGTGTGGCTTGGTGGGAGTGGCAGGGGAAAGATACTGCAAAATCTCCATTCCCACCCCACTCCAGGGGAAGGATACTGCAAAATCCCCATACTGCAAAATCCCCATTCCCACCTCACTCTGGGGTCAGCCAGAGGTGGTATTTGCCAGTTCTCCAAGCTGCTCAAAATTTCCGCTACCAGTTCTCCAAAATCTGCCTGAACCTGCTGAATTTCACCCGTCTGTCCCCAATTGGTCAAAAGAGCATCTATAGTGTGACTCTTTATCTAGGTGTTGGATGAAAAAGAGTGAGACCCCTCACATCATCCATCTGTCGCACACTTTTTTATTGATGGCTGTTGTAATTTCTTTGATTGTTTTGATCTGCCCAGATTCATTGGGAGTTGGGCCTAGTTGCCTTTTCACAGCTGCTGAAATTTAGTTGCTGAAATAGAATAAATGTTCATTGGATGATAGTTTCTGCAAAATGTTTTTCTTTTGACTCAGCTATTATAGCTAAACCTATAGTCTGGAAATTATAATATGAGTTTGACTCCTTATATCCCTTTTGAATGAAAATTAAGAACTGTATGGTAGAAATAACTCTGGCATAGTCTGGCAAGATTCATTTATCAGGCTGTAGCAAAAGGATAGGAGACATTGGCACTCCATTGGTTCTGGTAGGAACAATTGGATCTGGTTCAGAATCAACTAGTTGGTTCTTAATGTCTAATTTTAAGCATTGATACCTGAATGCCTGTGGAGATTCTCAGTTATCCAGGTCATGGTTGTCCCAAAGGTACTTTTTCAAGAGGCAACTGTACTTTCTGGTTTTTCCTTGAAGATGTTTCACTTCAAAAAAGAATGCAAATGACCAGCTGTCTGCAAGGAGTATAAATCCTTCCATTCCCCACCATGCAGTCAGGATGGTGAAGAAGCTTCTTGAATGAAAAGCAAAACGTATTCAAATAAAAACCAGTAAGTCCAGTTGCCTGTTGAAAAAAGCACCTTTGGGCCATTGATACCTGAATGTTCTTCTTGCATTTCACTTGCCTATCTCTAGGCCTTTTTCATTTTGCAATATTTTTTTTAGGTTGTTAAACAAAAGGCAAAAGCTATTATGGTATACTATATATAGGAGTACAAAATATTTTTGGATCTTTTCAATTAAGATACTTAAATAGTCATCCAGGTTCTGAAGGAGGTGGGCAAAAAGTGCATATACTCCCCTACCTGGCAGAAGATAAGCATTTATTGTACTGAGTTGGCTGTTATGTAAATTCACATAAACAGAGGACATTAAACAGTAACTTAATCAGATGACCTGTTTGTGTCAATATGTGGATTGCATTTTTCTGACAGGAAAACCTGTGGTTCATTGCTACTTCAATTAAACTACTGTTAACTTGTTATTATTACTTCAATTTATTAATATTTAGAAGCTCAAAAGAGCTTTGGAGAGGGTTTATTTCACCCTCAAAATAATCCTGAGGTAGATTGACTTGTAAGAGAGTAGCCTTAATACCACATCTTCAAAGAAAAAACAAAGTTCAGTTGCCTCCTGAAAAAGCACCTTTGGGACTGCCATGACCTTGATGCCAGAGAATCTCTACAGAATTTTAGCTAAACAGTTTGGGATGAACATGGTGTGGGAGTAGGAATGGATTTCCAAGGAAAAACTGCTTTGAATGGTATGCGAGTAGGAATGGATTTCCAGAGGACTACGGGAACCAGGAGCACCACTCAGGTGATCCTGAGGACACAGCTAAATCTCCAAGGGCTTCTACGACCCTCTAAAAGGATGCAAATGACAGGCTGTCTGCAAGGAATATAAATCCTTCCATTCCTACTGTCCTGTCAGAGTGGAAGAAGCTTCTTGGATTAGAAATGAAACATTTCAAAGCAATAACAAAGTCCAGCTGCCTCCTGAAAAATTACCTTTCGGAAAACCATGACCTGGGTCACTGAAAATCTCTACAGATTTTTAGGCTGGGTGGTTTTTAGGTCTCCCCATTGTTAGTCCAGTATCTTAGCTACAACACCACACTTGTTTATGGTTTTAGAGTGCTGTTATTAGTCCTTTTATCAATAAAATACCTCAGTGTTAATGTATGTTTTTCCCCCCATCTTAATTATTTGGTCATTTTCAGCTTGTTGGTGCAAATGGAGTTCTGAACGTTGGTGGAAAAGTACGTCTTCAGTTATATTCTCCTCCTCCAAGGACCAGGTCACAACTTCATGTGGTAGAAGTTTATGACTGGTGGGCAAAATGTCCTAGAAACAATTACCCTTCAACATTGTACGTAACAGTAAAAGGCATCAAACTTCCCGATCACGTATGTTAACTTCAGTGTCTTTAAAATCTATCTTGTGACCATGACAAAATAATGTCGTCTTCTTGGCCTTTTTATTATTAGCTGTGGAGAAAAAAATGTTTCCACTTGTGTTAAATTCTGATCTTTACTTTACTTATCCCCCTCAAGTAATCTAATACAGTTCTATTTTATGCTATAAATAAATTAAGGAATATGCTGTTGAATAGTGAAGTAGCTTCACTTTGGCAAAAATGGAAGACTACATGGGAAATTTTCCTCTTTTTGTTTTTTCAAGAAGACTGCTAAAGCTGAGGTTATAGATCAGGTTTTGCTTTAGTGAAGTTGATTAACAGCAATGTTATTGCTATCATGTTTTGATAAGCTGGATGTAGCTAGTGATTTAAAGGGTATCAGTTTAGAAAACTTCTTTATCTTACAGTATTCAAAATGGTTATCCTTAGTGATTTAACTCATTGGGTATTCATACGAACACATTCTCATTCTGCTTAAAAAGATGCCTTATGCTTCCATACAAACAGTTTCGACTGTAGCGCAGTAGAATGAGTATGCATGTTTACACAACTGCTTGCTGATTACGGAATTTTATATACTTTTGACATGTCTTGCTAGGAGTATGAGTTGGTTCTGTTAGTAGCTTCATGACATCATGTAGCAGCTGTAGGTATTAATGAACAGTAATAAAATCTGTAGCACTGATGGGAAATGATAGTAATCTGAGGAAAGGCATTTGCAAATGAACATAATTGCATGCTTAATATATTTTGAGGATGGAGAAATCAAATCATATATGTGTGTGTTAACTAACCCTGGATGTACTTGCAATTTGATTTACTTAAATGAACTTAGTTTTCATATGAATATTCTGATATGCACCCCCTTGCTTTAAATGGTCCATTGTATTTTCTTTATACTTTTCACGTACTGACATTTTATATTTTTTGTTTTATATTATTACATACATTGTTTTATAAAACATATATTTAAATTGTTTTCATATATATTTTTTGTAGGTAAACCCTTCTTTGCGATCCATGATGGCTATTCAGCAAGAATATCATAGCACATCATTCTTGGATCTACAGAATGATAAATCTAAAACAATACTGAATTCTGGAACTCAAACGAAAAAGGAAGAACCATTTAAGTGGTCAAAACTTCCTGGACAGGTGAAAACATTTTCAGATAATTGTTACATGTTTTGATATTAGCTTTTTTTTAAAAAAAATCAAACCATTGTTATAATCTTACTTTAGTGAACTTTATAGAAGCAGGAAGGACTTGAGGTTTCTTTTCCAGCTTTTTGAGAAATGTCTAATGCTGCTTATGACAAGGTGAATTGTAGATATTTGCAGAAAAATACAACACTTGTATCTTTATTAAAATATGGACAATTACAAAATATGGATAGTGCAGAAAGTTAATAAATTTAAGAAAATAGACTACTAGTTAAAACACTAGTGTTAGTTTGAACAGTCATAATCTTTTTGTTTCTTTGAGCCTGCTGAAATGCTGTTTCATCTCCAGAATTCTACTTGGAAAATGAAGGGAAAGTTTTAAGCCTATGTACTTTTTCATCCCTTTGGTATATGATGAAATGCTATTGTAAAATGTAGTTATTACAAGATTTATACTGAAGTGTCAGTGATCCCAAATTTAAAAATGCATTTGTTCAGGGCCAAAGTTGGTGTGCTGATAAATGACTGACCGTTTTTCTGGAAAAAAACCAAGCCACCCTATTGTTTCCCAAACTCTAATGTACTCCAGATATGGGTGCAATTTGCTGGAAGCAACATATATAGAGAAAGGTAGTATAAGTAAAAATAAATGAGACTAGATCCCATTCAAAAACATATTCTAAGTTAAGATGACCCAATTGCCTTTTCTTTGTAATATAAATGTATTTTATAAAATAATGTAGCATGATATATATTTTGGTTCCTCATAAAAAACACGCATTAGAGTAGAGGGAAGCGGGAGAGAAGCACTGCTTCAGATATTAAGTGCTAAATGTGAGATGTGTTCTTGATTTTTTAAATATATCTAATTTAAATAAAATTATTACCTTTTTCATCTTCCCTTTATATGGCTTTAGTTTAGATTTAAAAAGCATGATGACATACCTCTTTTCCTCAGAAGTCTAAGTCATAACCAATTTGTTATATGAAACTATGAATTTTTTCATTGAAATCTTTCACACCACGTACACACACTGAAAATAATATTGTTTAAACAAACATATAAATAACGGTTTGCTTTGGATCTGCAGGTGTGCCAATTGCCGAACAAGTACCTTTTTTCCTTGAAAGCAGGAGATATGGGATGTTTCTGCATTCGTTTCTCTGAAGATGGACGGACATTAGCAGCAGGTTGCGCAGGAAGAGATGGTTATCCTGTTGTTTGTAAGTGAGAGTTTCAAGGCCTATTTTTATTTTAACCCGCCATCTATGTATGCGGTGAACTGTTTGGAGGGGAAATTTTTCTTTTTATCCTTGAAATTTGATTGATTATTCAAATTTAAAGTATAACCAAATGCTAAAGGGTACTTTTTAATCTTTTCTCCTCGCATGACAGATTTTTATTTTATTTTATTTTAGTGATGTCTTCTCGGAGTAATTCAAGTGATATCAGTAAATCCTTCCACTTTCCTTTTCCTTATATCCTAAAACCTTTCAGTATTCAGCTACCACTATTTGTAAATCAAAGTCATGTAATCTTAATATTACAAACTATCAAAATTGGGCTCATGTGACTTCTGAATGAAGTTCAATAATTTAAATAAATTAAATTGTTTAGAACATCAAATTAATAGATTTATAATTAACCCATTGGCTCAAATTTGTTGTAAGTTTTCCAATCTTATAGCAGTCCAATCTGTTCAGTCTAAATTTTCAGGAGCAATTTTCCAAGTTCCTCCTCACTGAATCTCCAAAGCTTCACTACAAATGGAATCTGGAATAGTGAGGATGGAGGCTAGAATATGGCAAGTGATATTCTTTTTTGTCTGTCTTTATTTTTCTTAACTATCCTGATGTTGTCAATTTAGTTTTGTTTATTGGATATTTAAATAATAGTTCTTTCTTATGCTAGTTAATGACCGCAATGAAGTTAAATTAGCAAGATGTTAGTAGTTAAATTAGTATGCCCTCATCCCTTCCAGAAACATAATGCTATATTCAAATGAAAATATTCACTCTTGGAATGTTTAGAATGTTTATTTAATTTGTATGCCGCCCCATTCCCAAGGGACTCGGGGCGGCTAACAAGCAAAGGGGGGAAGGGAATACAAATAGGACAAAAGACAGACAAAATAAAAACAACAGCAGTCACAACATTTCAAGTGGGGCTGGAAATTCATCAGCCCCAGGCCTGCCGGAACAACCAGGTCTTC